ATATAATACTCATAAGGAAAATGTTGTAATAACTCAGCGAAGGCTATATAAACAAAAAATACTTACAAATTATGTCACACTTGTCTAGTCTAGTACTAGTCCCACATTTGTCTCGCACTAGTCTAACATACTTAGTTTTAAATTCAAAAAATGCACGTATAACCGAGTTGGTGATTAAAAAGTTATGAAATAATCCCGTACAGCCTAAGAATACAAAAAACACTTCCCACTTGTTACCGAGTATTCGATTTGACCCACTCTAATGTAAAAATTTACTTAATTATGGGTCTTAGCAGGATTCTTTTTCAAATAGTAGTTTTGTTGAGGTTAATAGCTTCTAAAAATGTCGGGACTTATCCTTTTTCAAACAGTTTTGAATGTCTTAGCTTTGTGATTGACAATTATGATTGAGTTTTATTATGACTTATCTTAAATTGTCCACACTTGTTCATGCCATCGGGTGCTTTCAATTGCAAGTTGCGTTGCAAATCCTCATTAGCAATCAGGGTTATTCCCTCGAACTAGTCTCATTATAACTCATATCAACGTCTCCACACTTGTTCAGGCCGTCGGGTGGGTTGGGCTGCTCCTCCAAAGCCTCATTGACAATTAGTGCCATTCCCTCAAGTTGGTGCAATTCTTTGTGACAGTGAAGAAACCACTGGCCTGGATTATCAGAAAGAAAATTGATGACAACGTAACCGCCAGCAGGGACCATTACTGTGTCCTTTCTGATCGTGCGGTTATTGATGTCAAAATTCATTGGCTCTGTCTTCCAGCTTGGTCTGGTACAACTTTCGTTGACACACCCTTCTTTAGTGCAGTTAACATCAGCGCAGGATATATCACTGTTGCGTTTTTTAACAAAACCAGTGATGTTGTCATACTCAGGATATCCAACAGCAACAACATGAAACGTATGGCCATGGAGATGAATTGGATGAGCACTAAGAAAAGCACCCATTGATGAAAACACCATTTGAACAGTTTCGTTATATGGAATGTCTATCACCATCACACATGAGCACTCGAGTGTCGATGGATTGCAGTCAGCCGTAAGGTTACAGATCGTGTCTTTTTTTCGAAAATCGTTATATTGGGTTAGGGGTGGAAAGGAAGGAAGAATAAAATTTCGCCCGTTCACTGAACTAGTTTGAGATTCACCTTCAAAACTAAAGTTGATGAAATGTGTACAATTTCGGCATTGGCTGTTAGGGTTTGCATTTGGAAGTTCCCCAGGTGGAGTTGGCTCAAGTAAACGCAGCTCGTCTACATTAGTACAGGTAATGTTGTATGAAGAATGGAACTTCTTAAATGGGCAGTTCACTGCTTTGCATGGATTTTCCTTGGTGCACACTCTGAGAGTAGCACTGTTTTTTATTTCTTCATATCTATGCGACGGCACATCGGCATTTGGATCGGGCGACTCTCCATCCTGTTTGTAGTGCAAAATAGCTTCTGCCACATGTCCTAGTGACTCGTAAGGGGGCCCTTGGCCATTTTGATTAATCTCCATAGTCTCTGCACGAATCCAGTAGTCTTTACTTGTCTCTGTTGCATTGAGTAGAAAGTCATATCTCTCTCCGGGATGGATCATGATGTAATCAACCTCTTTTTCGGGTTCAATCCAATAGCCGTCGGTGCCGACCACAATCAGTTTATGGCCATCAATGGAAAAGCTGTAAGAATAAAGCCCTTGGGCTCCTACGAGCCGAAAGCGATATATCTTTCCGGACTCAACAGTGAATATACTCAGTCTTGTTTTTTTGTATGGAACATCAACATGTCTGCCTTTGCCATTTATGATTCCAGAAAAGTAGGGGATAGGTCCAGTCCCGCCATTGTCAAAACTACGTGTACTAGCATACCTTTGATCAGACGGAGTAGGTACTTCGCCATATGGTTTGTCTGGATAAAAGCCCAAGCCTGCTTGGCTCTGTGTGAACAGGTCTAAAGATGCCTCCTCTTGCCAGTCTAGAAGCGTTAAGGTGTGTTGATCTGGAAGATCTTGAAAGTTAGCGTTCAGTTCTGTTCGGATTTGGTTCAACCTCGTTTTATTTTCTTGGACTACAAGTGCTCCATAGATGCCATCTGTTCTTTGTGCGCCACTGTGAGAGTGGTACCAAAACGTTCCAGAAGGACTAGCAGTGTACTCGTATGAATAGCTTGATGATGGTCCTATTTGACATTGAGTGACTTGCCCCACACCATCCATCC